CGAGCATTTAGAGACAATCATGAAGCACACAATGGGCTTCAGATATTTCTCAGTAGCTTATATTGAAGTGAAGCAAAATCCATTCAAGGAGCCACAAGCTACAGTTCATGCTATTTTTAAAAGTTCAGTTTTGTTTGTCTCATGGACTTGAAATTGTAAATCTGTCTGGCCAGTCGATATGTAGCCTTTCTTACTTACAAGGCACGCATCAGTTGTTTATTGACCCTAAACGATTGCTTTGCATTTAATTGACACATCCCCAATTTATTTGCGTAAAAATTTAACCTCCTTTGCGCTTTACGGGATGATTGTTTCTGAGTGTGAGCTCTTGCAGTGTCAAATCGAGTCTGTTTTTCCTTGGTGAAAAGGGAAGCAATCTATTTTTAGAATCACTTGAAAAATCTGCACAATACTTTGCGAGCTTTTGTCTCTCAACAAAGACCTTAATATCGAAGATCGATCAGAGTCTCTATCCTTAGCAAGCGAATTTGGCATAACTGTCAACAATGCTTCTTTAAGTGGCCCAGACAGTTAAGAAGCATTTTTCAGATATCGATTAAGTAAACGTTTAGTTATGCTGAGTTTTCAAATCATAACTGTTAAAAATCCATAGAGAACTATCTAGAAAGTTGAAAACAATAAGTTGCACTTTCAATTTGACGGCGAAGCAGTAAATTACTTGCTTTATTTTTCGGTTTTTCCCAAACTTCTTCCACTTATCAGCATGTTGTACTTTACTTTGATGTCGGGGACATCGTTAGTGGTAAAGTCGATCTAAGAACTCTTCAATCCATGAAAAAATTAAATACCCTAAAAACCATTTTAGCCTGCCTCCATCATACTCAAATTTTCTCTCAAGGACTGTGGTTAAGGGAAAAGATAAACATTCTAAGAAGCTCGTTTTCCAGCCCTTATGATTAGAAACGTGTAATTGGCTTGTATATAGCCCTTGTCAAATGGGAGGTTTTTGCAAATATTGCGTGAAGCATGATGGATGTTCGAGTACAGAAAAAGCCAAATGTAACAGCTCCATTCCAAAAGCTGAAAAAAGCCACTGGTAAAGATGGAGCACTTGAGCGTCGTCAGAAAATGCAATGTCACAAGAGGGCACTTGACACCAGCGTTGCGCTAATTCAAAGTGCTCAAAAAACCTTGTCATTTGAGAATTTCCAAGCAAAACCAAGGGATGTTTGACAGTAATATGAACTTACTTAGAGCAATTATAAGTACCATAATATTGTGTGGCAAACAGAACATCTCTCTCAGAGGCCATCCAGATGACAGCACAACCGCAGCATCCGTGAACAAAGGCAACTTTCATCCCATTCTTATGCTATTAAGCAACTCTGATGACGATTTAAAAGAACACTTAATTACTCACTGGTAGGGAAATACCACAAGTCCCTCTAAAACTGTACAAGAGAAAGTTCTTGATATCACTGGGGCATATGTTCGGTCGAAGGCTACACCGCAGAAGATTCAAAAGGAAAAGCTTTTCCCTCAATCATTAGCGATGAGCTAACGGATAAATAAGCAAATCAAGAAGTATTAAGTGTTTGCCTGAAGGCTTTTAGATCTAAGAAATGATGTCTCCCTCATGTCAAAGAAGTATTTTTCGACTTTGTCAACCTTGACAAAAGATCTGGTGAGAGCATAGCAACGCTATTTTGTCAAGTTTGGCTGAGAACAACATCGATGTCGTGTTTGTAGGAGGACAGGCATATGATCACTTTATCACTGCCATGTCATCGGAAGCATGTAGTGTGCAAGGGAG